GGGGGGGGTGTGGTGGCAGACATTTTCAAAGAAGGCTACAGACTAGTGTTTTGCTGTAGTAGCTCCCTCTAGTGACCACACACTTGGTCAACAGTTGCACCCTGATGAAAGCTATATGAGCACCCTCCTACCAGCAGATGTATCTCCAGATGGTGGGCATTTTAGTCCTGGTGGGGGCAGGGGCATCCACTATCATTTATGGAGTTTTATAATTATTGTTTTATGCAACAGTCTACAGTGTTTCAGTCTATTACATTAATGATTAATACCACTACAGTATATGTTAAAATCATCAAAAATGTCCATCCTAGTCAGGTGGCATGGAGTGTGCAAATGCAAAAATTTGATCCTACAGTACTTTACAGAAAACCAATCGAGCCAGGCTGTATCACACCAGGCCAGACTGGCTTGTTTCTCCATTATTACTAAACAGTCTGTTGAAGTAACTGGAGTCACTCAAGGTCAAGCAGATAAATGTAATTGACACCAAGACAGACTGATGAGACAAAATTCAATATAGACAAATCTACATTTCTGTGCAAATTAATGCGGCAAAAATAATCGGCCACAATGTTTTGCAGGGCAGTCAGTAGATAGCAATATTGGTGTTTTATTAGGGAAGTAATATAGTATGGTCCCTTTTTGTAGATGCCCACCCCCCAGACAAGTTCTTAAAAAAACCCTGTGTTCAAATCATTTCGCTGTATGAAGACAGGTCATGGGTTAGGGTTATGGTAGGACAAATGTTGCATTGCAAAGTAGTAACACATAATATATATTTTTTAATCATATATGGTTGAATCATATTCGCCAGGGTAAAACATCATGAGCTAGATTAAACAGATTGTCCTAATATCTAACTTTACCTGCAACGCACACCTGTTTCATTGCTGTTAATTTTTCAATCCACACTGGGGGGGGGTGTCAGAAAAGTTTCTACTTTTATGAGGGGGGAGGCACAAAAAGTTTGCCTTCAGTCTGGAGGGGGGATCAAAAAAGTTTTCAATCCTTATTTCCCCATTTCCCAAACCCCCCCCATAAATAATGACCACTCCCTTAATAATAACAAGGGGCTTTAACAGGGGCTTTAACAGGGGCTTTAACAGGGGCTTCGGTGGCCAAGTGGTTAGCGCACTTGCCTTTCACCTCTGAGGCTGCAGGTTCGAGTCTCACTAAGTACCTTCTCAGTGGGACTCGAACCACTGCCCCATGTGAAAAGAGTAAAAGTCAACACTCTGCCGAAAGCCGTGGGTTTTCCCCGGGTACTCCGGTTTCCTCCCACAGGGAAAGTTGACAGGGTGGGTTAGGTAAAAAAGGGCCCACAGTAATTGGCATATGCTGTTGTGGTGACCCTACCCTAGTTGGCAAAGCTAAATAAATAAAAATAACAAATTAAATTATAATTTTCAATTAGTTTTGCTGTTTTGTTTTAAAATGCATGCATTTGTTTTTACATAATATGGTCGCTGGTCCATTACAGGAAAATAATAGACAGCTGAAAGTGCTTCTCAGCCAATCACAGTCCGCCATTTCACCAGAAGTGATACTTGCCATATAATAAAGAGTAATAATCTGGCACTAAACAGAGCAAAATAATAAAGTAGGCCTCATCAGGGCACATTGCCACTTGAAGGGTTTAGCAGGACGCATGGACTCTTGATGAGTAAAATTGTCTGGCATTAGATCAGGCTCAACCAAGAAAGGCATGTTTTCCCGGAAAAAGTTGGATTTTCGAAGCCTCGGAAGAGCATTTTCCGTGTTTCCTGAGAGGAATTTTTGTCAGTTGTGAACCCCCCCCCCCCTTTTTGAAACAACATTTGCTCTGTATGCAATCAAAAGTGTAAATGAATTTGTTTTTTGCTGTTGTTATATACACAATACCAATGTAAGTTGATTTTTAGTGTCTGTGCAAGAAAGAAAGAAATACTGTAAAGTATGAAATGAAATACAATCGTCTCGGGTGAGAAAAAAATGGGTGCCTAGCCTCCTCTCCCGACTTCCGATGGCCCAGTTTAGTGCACTAAGTAATTTCTTTGTCTGGCATGAGGCATTGAAAAGTATTAAATCTGCACTAAACGAATTGGAATCATATACACTGAAACATAATTCCAAACTTACCTATGCAAGTATTAAAATACATTGAACAATTTAATATTTGCAAATATTTTAAATAACTTTGTAAAAACAATAATGAATTTCAATACTCCATTCCGGTTGCCCACATGCTTCAAGAAAATTTCCTAACAATTCTATACGCTTGCTTCACAAGAGAGAACATTTGTTATTCAAATTTCGCCACGAAAGCAATTTTGAAATAAATTTCAATAGACAGCGAGTTAAATGCATTAAAATATTAGGCAATTGAATGAAAAATAAAATATAACACGGGCAATTATAAAATGGCACAATACTGCCGTGGTTCTGTGTAAAAATAAATTTTAAATCACATATTTTAAACTCGAGTTTATACTCGACTATGAAATTTTGCATACCCATTGCCCATTTGACGAAACAAAGGCATATATAAAATTTACGAGCGATTTGAACAGTTTATTTTTATGAGAGTATATTGAAGGCTTATGGGAATTATATGACAATAGCGTTAAATTTGAAACGTATTATAGTTTATTTCTACTGGGAAATAACGAGTCGACAATACCTTGCTAGATCCATTTATTAAAATGCTCGGCTCCGAGGCGTGTCTTTGTCTTTGCATTTTGTAGTTCGCTCGCGCATAAGACGCTGAAAATAGCTGAAATTATGTTGTCTTCGAGCTTCGCTTTGCTGATTAGTTTTTAGCTCAAAGAAGCCAATATCCAAGTGCTACTGTCTCATGAAGATCAAATTTCAAATGTGTGTTGACGCAGGCGAACTGCCAAGTTCTAGTATGACGATATAAATTAGGTCAAACATGACTGAACACACAACACGATAAATGATAGATAATCAAAACTGCACACAGGCTTGGCATTAATATCTTCAATGCGCTATATAGTGAACACGTTATAGTAAACTTGGTTTTGAAAATTAAACTTTTATATACCTCACTAAAATGACCAATATAATTTAGATTTTTATTGTGTCTGCACGGGTTCAGAACTTCTGAATTTGATCTGAAATTTGGAACGAATATATCATATTGCCCCAGCAAGACATTTTTACACCAGTTTCAGAATCCAGTTTAGCCAAGCTCTCACCGTAATGAAATTAAACATATATAGTTGAAAGCATCCGTACCTTTTCCTTTTGTAGTATAAACTTTCACTCCATTGATTTGTTTGTGTTGGCCATGTTTTGAATTTTAATGAACTAGAACCCAGTAATTGCTGGGCACATGAAGATCGAGGTCAATATATTTGGTTCTAACCCCGTGTTAAACTTACTGGCACAGAGTCACCCTGAGACTCTCCCTGACGAGTAGAATCGTCTGGTGTGAGACAAAGTAAAATAATAAAGTAGGGCGCATTGCGCGGGCGGAAGAAGCTATAGCCATTTGGGCAGGCGTTCCCTCACTTGCCGCTCTTTCTTCTCCTGCCCGGACTAAACGCCTGCCACGCAGGCTACTTAAAGTTAAAGGGTTAATTATTGAAAACATTTGTTATCTTGGACATAACATTTTTGCATGGTAATGAATGCGAACACACGCGTGGTGTGGTAGATTACGGATTAGATATGGACCACAAAATATAGGGACAAAATATCTGTAAACATGTTCCATTGGACCATTTGCATTGTAAGGGAAATTTGTGGTAGAAAAATGTTGTCGGTATAAATATAAGTCTGATAAGTGGTCATGTAAGTGTTGTTGAATTGCGAGTCAAGAGTGGTGTACGCACAGAGCGTGAATCGGCAGAATCGCAGCACCGTGATCGCAGTGAATTGTTGATGCGCAATCGTGTTGGGGAATTATTTCTCGGATCTGAGTAACATTTTAAAATCATTCTAAAACGATGTGCACAGCCTCGTACCCAGGCGCTAATAACTAAAAATAGGCACACTGTTTTTATATAGATCAGTAGCTAGATGAGCAAACGCGCGGGGGTGCTTGGGAGGACTCGACGGGGTTCCACTGATCTATATAAAAACACTGTAGTGTGCCTATTTTTATCACTAAACCATCCTCGTTCCCAGGGCTTCTCGGCTGCCTGCTCTTCTCGGCTGCCTGACGTTCCAAGGCTTCTCGGCTGCCTGCGGCTTCTCGGCTGCCTGCGGCTTCTCGGCTGCCTGCGGCTTCTCGGCTGCCTGCGGCTTCTCGGCTGCCTGCCTGGGAACGAGGATGGCACTAAACAAGTGTAAATTTTGTACTGGGGCTTATTAGAATGGGGTGGGGGAAGGCTAAGGGGGGATAAATAGAGGAAACACTGGCTTCCGATTGGAAGAGTTTGAGCCTGAATGTACCCAAGATATCGAGAACAATAGCAATGATTGTGTCCGTCTGTATTGTATTACGTATGCATGTTGTGTGCACCGGGTTTTATTGTACAAAGTGCATACACCAACAGTAGTTTTAGCATATAAACTATATTATCTTATGTACATTGATATTAAAAATTTCTGTCCAATCCCATACTACAAATTGTGAAAGTGCATAATACTGACTAACTGCATTCCTTGCCAACATGTTGTGTTTATACAACGGTCGTCCAGCAAATGTGTTGTTTTGTTTCGTGCAAACACCGTGTTTATTTATTTAGCAAATAAATAAATATTTATTTCTCATAAACTTGCTAAAGTAAATAAAAACAGTGTGCCTAGAATTTCGTGTTTACACACTTGCTGATGACGTGCTGGTCACGTGCCACCTACAAAGCTCCCAGTTGTAACTACCAGCTAACTATCCCATTCGCCAATCACCAGAAATTTAGGCATTCTATCCTTACATTGAATTTTCAATTTACTATGATTAATTTAAGTTAGCAAACTACAATCAGTGACAAAAAATCATTGCACAGACAAATAATGAATGACTGGCCCAGGGTCTTTGTCACTGATTGCAGATTATACCATGGACGAGATCGTAGTTAAATAGGAAACTTAAAGCATGTAGGACAGCAACGTAATGACAACGGCTCAACAGTATCGCAATGAAATATGATCGTATGGAAAATGTAGGCTTGTCCTAACACCCGAGAATAGGAAGCCAGTTCGCGGTAAACTATTAATATCGACTATTTGAAATGGCAGTGTCGTGTGTAGGATGCGAAACATGAATTTTGGCGTTATAAATAGAGCATGGACGAAGACTATTAATTATTCAATTCTTTGACCTATCATGAATTTCATTGTATTGAAAGCCGTCGTCTTCGCGTTACTCTCGATCTCGCTTGCTTAAGCTCCCTAATGACGAGGTATACGATGAGCTGCGTATATATAACTGAAGTGGGAAGATTGTTTCATTGAAAACTTAGAATTGCTCACTTGTAAAGTCACTGCACGAATTTGTTCGAGTGCTCATGAGACAATGGTACAAGGTCGAGGCTCGCACTGACTTAAATTTAATTTAAATAGGATCACACAGTCATTCCCGAGTCCAAGCTATTGTTTCGTGCGCACTCCAGCAAATTCTGTGCACAATATAAATATATATTTTAATATATCACTTCAGTTATATACGCAGCTCAGTGCATACGAAAACGATCGACGTGCATATATTCTAATTTTAAATCTAATTATGTATGATAAATCTTCCATATTTACAAAATTACATATTTAAAAAAAATATCGTTAAAAATTCATTTACATGTAATACATAGTATTATATTATTTGACTCGCAATAAAAACCGCAGAGTTGCCGACCGTTTGGGGAGAATCAGAAGGGCGTACGGCGCTTTTAGCTTGGCTATTTCATAGACATAGACCTGCTATTGTTTATCATCCGTCTTGGACGTTAATTGAGTGCGTAGATTTAACTGCGGACGAGAAGCTTTCGGGTCATCGTCGTGTTCGGGGCGAAGCCCGAGCTCTGGCGAGAATAGAATTCTCATACTTTTGGTGGATGAGTTTTTAATCGTACAGTTATACCGTAGCGTCTTTACAGCTTGAATTTGATTGGCTGTTGTTTTCAACCACGCTGCAACCGGAATCAGAAGAAATTGATTCGACACCATTTGGTAAAACTTCAGCCAAAATGTCCACATACTCCTAGAAAATGATATGTATATAAAAGTAAATCGTGTTTCAAGGTACACTGGAAATCCAAAGGCGTTAAAACGACTCCTCAGTATCGTCCGAGAGGCCAACGAGATCGTCCGAGAGGTCAACGAGAATGAAGCGAGTATGAGAAGTGGCTCAACTATTCTTAACTTAGCGCTATAACACCGTACTAATACTGCTACAGTACTTGTTGAGACAACAACTATACCTGACTAGTTAGACTGGACAGCATCCTTTCAAGTTCTTGTTCCAACTGTGAAAATGACGGTCGATACGACGGATTCTCGCTCCACGTTTTCAACATCATTTCGTATCTGCATACAAAGAAAAAATACTTGAACAACGCACTAGGCAAGCTTGTACAACAACGCAACTAACTAGGAAGGCTTCACCTTGACGCAAAGGCCGTTTAGGAAGCAACTAACATTCACTTATCTCAAAGGAGATTTGCTTAGGTGCTTTCTCAACCTGTCGCAGGCAACAGGTACAGCAAGCAGTTTTTACACCGGTCGTTTGTGAAAATCTCCTGGAATTGACAGGTGGTTATTTCAAAGCATGCGTTGCGAAGACTTACTCGCAGCATCCGAAAATTTGACTTACATTTGAAGCGGACAGTTTTGTGGCTTTTCCATTCTGTAGCCACTCTTTAACAGCTCAAATAGCTTTTGAACTGGAATCCCAGGATATGGTGAACCACCTTAAAAACGATAAATTGTTTTTTACAAAAGGTTCATATGGATGGTAGATAGAAACTGTATATGAATGGGGAGATATATACTTTAGATATCATACTTTAAAGAGGGTAACACTAAACGATTATTTCTAATAGTGGTTTATACTATATAGAGGTGTGCATCGGATCGGATCGGATTTGCACACCTCTTATTATATAGCGATTCCAAATACACTTACCTAGTGTGAAAATCTCCCATAAAAGAACACCAAACGCCCAACTATATAAAATCAAAATAAAGGTGTTCAACTAAAAGTTGACCTGCTAAGGACACTTGACAAATGTATGCATCCTTGGGCACTTAGGATTTAAATTAAGGCGATTGCCACAAAATACTTCAAATACCCTCATTTCGCCCCATTCCCTATCCGGCGACAAAAAATACAGTACTGTAAAAGATGCACTATACACCATTGTTTAATACTCACACGTCACTTTGTATTGTGTAAACTCTATCAAACAATGCTTCGATTGCGAGCCATTTGACTGGGAGGCGTCCCTGAATTATTGCAAAAATACAGTCAGTCACTAATGTTTTCTCGCTCAGGGCAATAGTAGTATACCGCCGGATACTGTACTGTATATATCATATGAAATCATGAAATCAGGGAATATAAAAATTCAAGCCTCGTTACTTACATCTGTCGTCTTCCGGTAGTAATCCATGTCACGTGTGTGACGAGCCAATCCGAAATCAGCAATTTTCATGACGTAGTCTTCGCCAACAAGAACATTTCTCGCTGCCAGGTCTCGGTGAATACACTTAAGAAAAAAATACAACACAGATGAGAAATGAACAAATTAATATTATAATTGTCAAGGTGAAGTAATACGAGCAAAAAAATTGCTCAAACTTGCAGCAAAATCTGGTTTCAACGCATGTTAATAAAAAATGTTGGCTAATGTTGCCCAGGGTGTTCCAGTTTACGTGCGAACATTTTCAGTTAACATTTAATGAAATCCGATTTTGTAGCTCGTATTACTTTGCCTTTTATGTGCAGTTGCTTACCTTTTTGGCCGCCAAGTGTTCCATCCCTCGTGATATTTGGAATGCAAAAGATATAAAATCTCGAATAGTTACGGAAGGTGTAAGACGCTCTGTGTCGCTAGTCGATTTCGTATTTATGATGGACGGTCTTCTGCCACGCAAGAACTCGCGAAGATTACCATAAGGAGCGTATTCCACTACCATGTATAGGAAACATGCGCCTAGGAGACATTAAGAAATGAAACAATTATCCAACTGCACACATGACATCTCGCATCTTGTCGATAAGTTGCGGCAATGAGCCTGTCGACTCGTCAACCTTGTAGCAAGTTTGTTGGACGCCTGTAATATTATGCAAACAAGCTGGAAGCAGGCAATTACGGACCTACATGGCTTATTAGCACAATCTTTAAACAGGGTTGAAATACAAACACAAATTGATATTGGCTTTGTTGAAGCAACGTTGTAACAAGCATGCGGCAGAAATGTAACAGATTGTGTCTTTGACCTAGGACTTCATAAATTGTTGATAACTTATAACATTTACTTACCATTCTGTGTACAGCATCCGATGAGGTTTATAATATTTTTATGACAGCCTATTCTCTTCATAGTTTCCATCTCCGACACGAGATCTGCGAGTTCTGCTTCCGTCGCGTCGTCTGTAAAGGAGGAACAAATTTATGATGACGACAGTGATGATTCCCGAAGATGGTATTGACTGTAGGATGACAGTACTGTTGACGGTAATGATAGTAATAAAGGTGATAGTGGCAGTGGTTATGACGACTATGGTAATGATCTAGTAATGGTAGTAATTAATGGTGATGATGATGGTGATTGGTAGTGGTGATGGTAGTGGAAGTGAATATTATGATGGCAATAATCAGAATGATACCCATGGTAGTGATGTATTGGTTATGATGACGCTGATGATGTTGAGAGTGGTGATGCATATTGTGGTAACGGTGATTATATTAATTACGGCGATAATAAAATTTCCCACGAGTCAATGATTTAAGAAGGTAAAAATCACATTAAATATTACTTACTTTTCAACATTTTCACAGCAACAGTATGACATTTCGGATATCCGGGCAGGTCATATGCTTCTGCTTTCATCACCAGTCCAAATGCTCCTTCACCTAACGGTTCTTCCTTGATTGATAACTGACTCTCATCAATCTCCCACTCCTCGTCATACGGCAACTCAAATTCATCTTGAAGGGCAAAAGAGCATTGTTTAAGATGGTGGTTAACTGTATCTGTCTGTAGAGGAGAGCTGTATCTATTCTCCCTACGGGTCGGGTAAAGAAATCACTTATCGGTCCATTGTTACTGCGAGAGGAAACCGACGTACTGGGAGAAAACTGGAGGTGTTCGGTACACAAGAAGAGTCACATTGGAAACACGTAACTGTCTAAATTGCAGGAATCCAAACTCGGTAGAAAAGATGAGAGGTACAAGCACTAAACATTGTGGCACTATGGAATACACCCTTTTGATAATTACGTCACAACTACACTGTTTTCAACTTAGGACCACCTTAAATGAAAAGGATTTCAAGTTTTTTTCTCATGGGCTATGCACAGAGAAGCAGAACATCCTTCTTCAACCTATGCATGAAAAAGAATTCTTTATTTTGACCAATAAATGTGGGAATAAGTTTTAACTTATGTTAAAACACGAAAACGAGGCTCCAGGCCATGACCTTAAAAAAATGACCAAAAAACTTGAAATCCTTTTCATTTAAGGTCGCCCTAAGTTGAAAACAGTGTAGTTGTGACGTAATTATCGAAAGGGTGTATTAACATTTGCATAGGCATTTAAAGTAAGAAAACAAATGAGCACGAGACCGCAATTGAACATTCAAAGAACTGGCGTCAGTGATGCTGTATGGAGCTAAAATATGATCAGTGGATCATGAGGTATGGTGCAGTATTAGAGAGCTGACATAAGAAGTTACAATGTTATTTCGAATCGAGAATATCTTACAAACCAGTAGGTTAAAAGAAGAGCCGGGGTCTACTCCGTCTAAGGATTAGAATGAATGAAAGAGGTGATCAAGAGGAACGCAGAGGATAAGATGGAATTATTGTGGAAGGAAGAGATGATAGAAAAGGTTATCTGAGAGATCACGGAAGGAACTCGTAAGAAAAAGCTCTACAGGACGATAAAGGCTAAAATGAAGTGACAGGATTGTGGAGGTAGCCGGACCAACGGTTCATGATGGAAGAGATCGATATACGCGAATGCTAAATAAAGACGGTATACGAGAATGTACGAGCCTAAATAAATGGAAAAGAGGAATATATTTCGAGTTAAACTTCACACATAAAACTGTTTTAGCCTACCTTCATTTAGATCTGAATCTATTTTCGAGATACCATTCGATGGTAGCCTAGTACGGAAACTATTTTGTCGACTGAACATCAACGGCAAAGTAGAACTTGTTGAACTATTGGATTCCAAGCGTCCATTTCGTTTTAGGCCAAAAAACCGCACTGAATCCTGTTTACTATCAAATACCCCCGAACCACTATCCTTTGACGATTCCAATCCTCGGGAGTACATAACTTTCCCTTCAATTTTCTTCGACATTTTTTTCTTGTAAAAGACAAATCCGACAACAACACAGACAGAAATAAGGACGATGACGACACCAAGCATAATTATGGCAATGACGCTGTTCCGTCCTATCTTGTCGGAACTATTATGATCTTCACGTCGTTGTGGTATAGAGTCGGTGCCTACGGTTGGCTCTTCATCTACGAAATGGTTAGTAAATATACTCAGATTCGGAATTTAAGTTGAAGTTTAGGTATATGATATGTGGTCTGGAAACTCGGCAAACGTCCAAGCGTCCACAAAGCCTGGTTTCCATATGGTCGTAACGGTCGTAAAGATTGAATCACGGTCTTTCTAAACAGCCAGATTATAATAATTTTTATCTCCAACCACATAAAAATCATAAATATTCTCTTTTTATAATCACACTACCTATTTTCGGTTCTATACTGTTGTATTTCGGTTGTTGAGAAAGATTGTGACTAAATCTTGATTGCCGTTACGACATGAAGGAAACCAGGCGAAATGAGAAACGAGTTTGTGTTGAGACCGCTTCACCGAGCACACTCTTTTGAAATTTTGCTTATTAATATTTCAACATTATTAAGGTTCGGTGGCTCGACGGGGTGATACCACTAGATGGTTGCTTCATTATGCGTGCATAAACACGAATAAGAAGACGAAGACTTTGGTCAAGTTTCCAGACCATATTTTCATAGACTTAATAGACTTAATAAGGGTGGATGGATGGATAGATACGGTTTATTTCTCTATTATTGAAAATAAGGTTAAAAAGCAATATTGCTAAAAAGCTAAAAAGACTATTTGACTTCTCAGTGGAAACTGGAACACCGTGTTAACAAGATGTGTTAAATGCGCAGTTAAACTCTTATACCCACCTGAAGAGAGAACTCTTAAGAACGCACTTCTCCAACCTTTGCCAAGATGATTACTGATCAGACAAGTATACATTCCTTCGTCTTCTTTGGTAACATTATTTAACAGAACTCTTCCTCCATACTTCCCATCCTTTTTGTGAACTTCAAACGATCTGTAATATCGTGGATTTATCATTGTGTAATAAGACGAATTCACCCATGGTGAGTTATCGTCGAATACCAGATCTGGATAGCCGGGAGGTAGTTTCTTCCAATGGAGCCATCGGTAATCAGTCAAAATAGGACTAAACAGTTCTATACACTGAAACGTAACATTTTCGCCGATTCTAGCCGTTTTGTTGAGTGGATATTGCGCTGATAATACCGGTCGTACAGGTCCTTTTTCTATTAAAAAGCCAGTATTTAAGTTATTTCGGTTTTCAGTACCTCAATATTGAGGTGTAATAATGATGACTAATTTAGCGATAAAGATTCGTTTAATATTGATCACACATGCAAGGTGCAATTGCCCAAAGCATCGGGGGCATAGATATCTTATATAAACTAGATAGCGCATCTCTTTTAGTAAAATTGAAGCCAAGAATATTCCAGCGGTTACCCCCATTTGAATAGATGGCGGTAAACGCTTAAAAAACAACAATAACTTTCATCATTTGAATAGTTTTAAAATGTATTTGGAATAGGTTTAACTTAATGTTTAAGTTCCCTGTTTAAGAAATAGAAAACATACGAGTCTTCTCATTTCATGGGAATATCCTGAGTCTGCAATCACGGCTTCAATTTTTGAATTGCAGAATAATTAGATGCACTATCTAGTGTATATAAGATATCTATGATCGGAGGTTTAAAAAGTGCTCCACAACAAAATGGTGAAATGAGGCAACAAAACGTTTCTGGAAGGAAAGTTTAATTCCTGACTATGAATTTAAAAAAGCTTACTTTATATTCCTTCCTCTCCCTTTCCCCCTTCCTCCCCTTTTCCTTTTGTTCCTTTTTCAGGGTCGCTTTCTTATCCCAAACCCCCAACTTTTTTCCACCTTGAAGGGGGTGGGGGATCAAATGGAATACACATTTTATATTCCAGAATGTACCTACCTATAACATTCAATTTAATGTTGTGTGATGATGTATTCCCTAATCTGTTGGACACAATACATTTATAAATTCCGTTGTCCGATGGTACAGCCGTCTTGATTCTTAAATACCACCTCGTACCGTTAAACCTTCGGTGAAAATGAAATGACGTTATAACTAGAAATAGAATTACTTTGTACAGGTGGGTAAGTGGGTTTCAGTCAGTGAGCTCTATATATCTGGAGTGGGAGCTTCAGTCATTTGGCCTACGAGAAAAGTGAAGCCAAAATCAATGAAGGTCGTTAACAGTTTTTATACCATTTCCCCCAGTTAATTCTAGGTTTTTCATATCGCTATCATGTTAACAGTTTATAAAACAATAATATTACTCCTTAATTTAAATCAAAGTGCTTTGTGTCAACAGACAAAAACAATAGTGGCCATCAATTTCCGCCATCTTTGGTTTCACTTCTTACTCTAGATATAAATGGAGCTCAGTGGTTCACTAGGCACTATTCTGCATGCGGCATATGATGTGCGACCAGCAGTTATAAGAGTGGGAAAATAATTCAAATATACATTGCCTAAAACAGGGCTCGAAACTTGTGGTATCCCGATATCCACAGGATATCAGATTTTAATTTTGGATACTGGGTATCATAAGCTCAGTATCCCAACTGGATACTAGTAAAACTTAGAATTTGCGATAGTAGATAATCATCTAGACGTTTGGCATGTTTCCGAACTTCAATGTCTATGGATTTTGGCAGAAAAGAAACATTTCACAAACGGTGCTTTCTTTCGTATCGCCGCAGTGTGTTATTTTCAATTTTTTCGAATTTCAATACATATTTTTATTATTGAAACTAAAGGCCTGGTTTTTGCTCAGCAACTGAAGGCCTGGTTTCAAGGTAAAATTTTGCCTTGCTTAGATACTGGAAATAGAATATCTAGTATCCAGATCTGGGTTACTATATTTCAAGGATGGATACTAGATTCTATGATGCTGGTATCCACTTGGATACTGACAAAAATTTCAAGTTTCGAGCCCTGATTTAGACATCTATAAATACATACTTTGGATCCAGTCGACGATATTTAAGAACTTTGCCGTCCTTCAGCCATTGGTATTTAAGAGGAGGCTCTCCGTCAGCACGACAACGTAGTTTGAGATCACTAGATGCTGGCCAAGCGATAAATTGTTGCCCAGGTTGTTCCGTTAGAAACCAAGGACGACCTGCATCATCAACAAACGGGGTCAATTTCTATATTAACATACAATCCTAAATCCAGTGCTAAATGTGATCCTATCTCTAGTCCTAAATAAATTTAACTTTAAACATAACGCCCATAGGCGTACGGGAGATTGCCCTATCAACGCAATACACTGTATTATGTCTTCAAAATTAGCTCACTTGATTCAAAACTATGAAGCAACTCCTTTCTTACATTTTTAAATTGCTAGTTACAGTACTTACCCTTTCCAGGTTGTCCCCGTGGTTTGAGTTCACCTTAATGAACAAAAGTATGAAATAAAAGTATGAATCATTGCTTGTAGTCAGATGGTTTACAAAATTATCGTTATTTTTCTCATGCCTTGGCTAGCAATTTGGCCGGCCATAGTTCGCAAAGGAGTCCTATCCCCCCTTTTGAATTGTTCCCCTTTTACCAATGTCCACCCCCCTCCCATTTATTACGACAACTGTTTCAGAGAGCAAACCGTTTGAGACGGTTTATTCCTCCTTAAGAAAGGGGGATTCGAACTATGCTACAAACTTCGGGAGATTTCAATGAAAAGTATATTACTAGATACAAGTTGTACGGTATTGAATGCAATACATTTCACATCCTCACTAATATAAGCAGATGCTAAGGAAAGTCGGTTCAAAATTTCACACGACTTCCTGACTGACTTTCCACAGTCCCTCATATTCGACACAATGTGACGCAAACGCTCATGGGAATGAATTCCCATCGTTGGATGCAGGATGAGCGCCTGGGGATGAGTCAGACTTCCAAGTGTCATTTACAATGTAAATGACGAAACAGATTTCAAACAAACAAGAGAAAAAGTTTCAAGCAATCTTCGAATTTACAGCAAATTCGTCGTTTTGCAAATCATGTCAGTATGCGTCAAATTTCATCAAGCCAATAAAAAAGGGTCCGAAAATTTCGTTGCGGTAGCATTTAAAAAAATGTTAAGCAAGATAAAGTTCGACAAGAAGCTTACCTACGACGGTTAAATTCAGTTGCCTGCTAACCTCGCCATAAACGTTCGAGGCAACACACTTGTACATTCCAGTGTCTGCCTGTTCTAAGCTCTTAATCCTTAACATTGCCGACCTCCCATTCTTCTGTCGGTACTTTTTCTTCTTCTTCATCTGAACAAGCTTGCCTTGGACATACCAGGTCATTTTCCACTCAGGTTTCCAGGTAAAGAAATCGCATTTCAGACGGGCAGTTTTACCAACTTCATATATATATTTGGCAGTTGTTTTCTCCGTTAACTTTGGTTTGTTACCTGTGAACAAAAATAGTGAAGTTTAATCTTGCTTGGCAGTACAGTATCGATTAGGCAGTACAAATAGATTACTTTTAATAGAGTATAAAGGTAGTCTCGATTTGGCATACAGTATCGATTACTATTAATAGAGTATCTATAGGTAGCGTCGCGCCATGGCTCCCGAACGTCTGCAGCAGCAGTCATACGGTAAAGAACAAAGTTGGAAATATACGAGCCGACGGTTCTGTCACTGTTTTATGCATGAGGGCCACAGGCTCAGCCTGCCCTGAAGGCTAGTAAGGACGTTTCTATACGTTGGCGGCGTTAAAACTTCTTGTGGACTCCTGCCAACACGTTTTTCTTCGAATTTTGTATTAAACTCTATTACAGTAAAAAATGTGAAATTTCAAATAGATTTCTAACACAAATGACTTACATAATTTGAAAGCTTGCAAAAAACTACATATAAGACATTTAAACGGTTACCCAGGTTTTTCAAGTTCTTCTTGAGTTATGAGCTGTTGAATGCGTGTTTTGAGACTAGTCAGGATGTTTGCGAGATTTTGGCTTATTTTTCACATTTGAAACAGGAATAACTCGAAAACCGCTCGAAAATCCCAACTAACCATTTAAATGTCTCATATGTAGTTTTTTGTTAGCTTTCTATTGATGCAAGTCATTTGTATTAGAAATGTATCAGAAATTTCACATTTTTAACTGTAATAGAGTTTGAATGTTTTCTGTGTTGGTGTAGTGTACTCAGGTGAATATGATATTTGTGGTGTTACTCTGAGTGTATATCCACACCGGGCGAGCTTGAAAAATATGCCCGGCCACGGTGGGATTCGAACCTACGACCTTTGGAATACTAGCCCTGTAATAGAGTTTAATACAAAATTCGAAGAAATGCGTGTCGGCAGGAGCCCACAAGAAATTTTAACGCCACCAACATACAGAAACGGACTTACTAGCCTTCAGGGCACCATATAAAAGAAAAATGGAATTGTCCCACGATATAGTAAGTTTTCCATAATTTTGATCCTCTATCTGCCTGACTACTAGCATGTCAAAAAAAAGAGTAGCCAAAATCGCGAAGGAACGGGAGTCTGAGAGTGGGGAAGGAGGCGTAACAAAGGTGAAGGAGAGAACTAGAGAAGAGGAAAAGCTTGAAGCGAAGTTAGTTGCTAAAGGAATAGACGAGAAGGAGGTTTTCGAGAAGAAGGTTTTCAAGATGGCGGCTATTTTTCAAGATTGTTGAAAGAATCAATAACAATGCACTTGTAACAATCTTAAACCTTACCCTAAACCCAATCCTAACCCTAGCATTAACCCTAGCCATTACCTTGAAGTGAAATGGGCTCGACGTCGTGTTGGTACTGGACGCACACGAAAAGAGAAGAGACTACATTTAAGTTTTCTCGTTACCGTTTCATTACACGATATGGCACAACTGCGAAAAAAAGCATGGTCACTATATGGTTTCGGACGTATACCCACGGTAATATAAAAGACACAGTTTGAAGCCTTTATCACATTAGGTAAAGAAAAACACTAATGTTTTTCCGAAATAGGTGCGTCGATGCATATGAAATTTCTGCTTCTACTATAAATGGTTTGTGAATATATAGGTGAAATTTGGGAAAAAATGCACGACCGAACTCTTTAAAGAACATACAAGCTCCACGAATGATCAGTGATTATTTAGATTAAGAATATGTATGAAAAAATTAATAAGAAAAGATGAAGAAATAGGTTTTATTATGTACATTAATCGGAGATGGATTATCCGTAAGATCCACCACCCGTTTCAGCATATAGGCACAGACGAACTGCATGTAGACGATTTAGGCGGAAAAGAATTTAATATTTAAACTATCTAATATTTATCTATGCTAAAGGTTTACGTTTATATAAAAATACGGCTGCTTCACCGTCACGTGCAATTTGCCAAATTAACCATTGTTACTGATCGATGACTAAGGTCTAAGCCCAAAATGTTCGTACTTGTTGCAAAGTTTGGCTTATTCATTTGCTCATTAATCTTTGCTTTTTCTAGGATTATACAAAAATGCGGTCCTTATTCGTTTATGTATACTATCCAAACTATACAAACAGGTGGTTTGGTTATCAATTCAACAATTGATAATGCAAATATTTAATAACTGAGCGAAAATACAATGCCCATGTATAACTTAAGATGATTGCATATTTGCCTAAACTGGACTACAAGGAACAACCTTCGGATTTCTAAATCATAACTGTGAAAAGGGATCAACCAATTATAATTCGGATTCAATGTTTTGAACGAAATCAGGTGTTTGCTGACGTCATTACACTGTATAATAAAATCCTAATATCGTATTTCAAGCTCGAACTAGATAACCACACGAAACAAACAGCAAAACTATCCCAATAATGCATGGAGTTTCTGATTAACCTTGATGATATTTTTGCTGTGTTGACGCTTGTCAGGCGTTTGACGTGAAACTATTTCGAAACTCTGAATGCAACCAGCTGTAAACTATTGTTGACTGACGAGAAGCGCCATAAATCTTAATTACCTTCAGAGTTACCAAACCATAGCAATGTTAAATTGCACTGAAATAGTTATCGAAAGCCACTATTGATCGAACTGTTATTTAAAAGTCCTAAAGCAGCATAAACACCCCCAGAACAGACATCGCATATACCGTGTGGAACACGGAAAGAGTATGTTTATCTAAGGACTTGACCTTTACTTGAAGTTGACATCGCAAAAAGGTATTGTTTTGCGAAGAAAGCGTCAACGTATAAATATAGATATATTTTGAAAGAATTTCAGTCACTCAGGGGCAAACAAAATTTTCTTTAAGCTTAATTGCTGTATTTAAGTCGAACTCAAACGTCTTTTGTTGGTTCGTTGAATAGCCCGAAGGGGGTAAAATCATTTAACTTTGTTGTAGCCTAAACAAGAAGGGCAATTATACCCAATAAATTTAATCAACTTGTCTGTAATTTAAAACTTATCTAAAACCGCAACCACGCACAGGACGTTTTAACCTCTCACGACATTTTTCACATTCAACTGTTTGATTATATGTAAATTCGCTAACGTTGGAAAAGCTACATGGCCATGGGCGTTTTAGCGTGCTTCTGTGAAATTATCGCACTTGAGATTGACCTTAAAAACAATTCCATCATGTTTGTTGTTGCCCCAGTGATGTTTTGATTTTATCAGTGGAGAAATCAGCTATTCCACCTTGAGTAAATAACACATGAATTTGGTATTTGTCATGTAAATAATCGATGAAACAATTGGTGTATGTACAGCTGATATTTTCATTAAAAATGAGTCGAGTGTTTGGCCTTTGGTATCACTAAGGAACCATTACTTGAACTTTGAACCACAGTAATATAAATTATATAATGGATTAATAATATATTGGTTTGAGTTACCCTAAACCTCAATCATTGTACCAATAAATTTACTATTGAGCACAACACATACATTGATCATGTGTATTTGTTATATACATATATTTTATGTGTTTTGCCTTTTGGTTCATGAAATGTCGGACAGTGCAGAAGTGCTCAATACTGTATAGGTTTTCTTACCCCAAATTCTTCACTGTATACGAATGTGGTTTGGTTCACAACATGCCAAACAGTGCTGATATCATATAGATAGAGCAGATATGTAGGCTACACTGTCACTGTATATTTTAAATATATTTATATATGATAATGTTATACATACAAAATGCATAACAGATATAAATGCATAATAATATTATATATGTAGAAAAGCTTTCAATTTGCACGTTCTTTTATACTATTAAACGTGTCGTGATAGGAATATTATGAACTTTAACTATAGAACACTTGAAACACTCAATTAAACATTTGACGTGACATGATCGATCAAAGACTAGAACAACTAGCGAACGCTTTATTTCAGAGCCATCATCAGGGAAACATAATGCAATGTATTCATGAGAAAACTCGAACACAACGTTGTCGACATAAAGTTGAATCAAGCATGCATGAGGGATTTGAACACCGAATATGCATTCAGCGGAACAGGGCGGACGCTCTACCAATAATTGTCAATTGAGCTATTGCGAGTCAACTGGTGAGAACACAAGTGTGTCACTGTTTCAACTCGATTTCAGAGCCAGGGAAACATAATACAATATATATTCATGAGAAAAACCCAACACAACGTCGTCAACATGAAGTTGACTCAATTAGCTAAAGCTTGCACACACTCGAGCAAAACTACAGAAAATTTCAATGTGCATATACAATTTCACATACGGAAATTGAGGCGCGCTGGGAACTGTAATATCACTCGGGTTGCACTTCACTGAGCATTTATATCCTACGACAGTGAGCAAATTATATAAATTAACTTTCCTGCCCTGTTATAAGTGTCGACATTTCTTGACAACTATAATCTATATACGCTGACCGAAAACCGTGAATTCAAAGAAAATCTCTACACAACACTACATATATATATAATTATATTTTCAACCTAAACTGTATAAAAGGTACAGTAAGTACAGTGCTGAAATAAAGTTGATTTGAAAAGCTTAAAAATGTGCGACATAAAATGAAGTGTTATGATGTATACGTTCTACGCGCTATAAAAGCTGCTATGCCTTGGTTATAAAGCATAAATCATAAAATCTTATATATGCAATAATCACCTCAACAAAGGCAAACCTAAACATAACCAAATACTGTGCAAGCATTCATATGGTTGTTCGTGCTTATTTTAATTCGCAGCGAAAACGCGCAACACAGCCTTTCTTGGCCTTAGCTTTTAGATATAGTTATATAGACTGTTGTATTTTTACAGTGAAGGGAACCATGTCAATGTTAAGGAAAATTCACGCTCCAGCATGAGTAATAACCGGCAATAAAAATCCACAGTACAATATTGCCACCCATTCGGAATATAAAGGAACTCGCTGTGTCTATTATAATAACCTAGGTGTAACTCAATGTTCCCGCGAATATGCATTGTTTTAAACCATTATGCTGTACACCGTGTGAGCGCACCATGATCAAAACGCCCTCGCTGCGGGCGAGATTTTGCCCGCTTCGCAGAAAATGGACGTTCGTCCTTGCTTTTGTGTGGCAATTTAACGCAAACCTTTCAGAATGTCTGAGAACACAAGTACGTTTGACAGGCGCAAATTGCCATAGAAAAGCGAACAAGGGTACGAAACAGCCACGCAAACATCATACTGTGTAATGCGGCTTTCGTAACAGATCGGAGATAACTTATGACGAATGTTGCTAAATGTTCAATTGCATTCTTGCGACACTACGGCGTCTGTTATATTTAAGGAGGCTGGTCAGCTATTTCGGCAAAGTTTGATGCTCGTACACAGGGGTTACAGATTGCGCAAAAACTTGGCAAGGGAAGACGAACCTTCGGATCAAAAATACACCGCTTAACATTAATCAAGCGAGTCATTTTGTTCGTACTTGAATACATAAAGCACAATTGAAGAATAAGACCACGATAAATAGCGCCAAATAGGAGTAATCGTTGCTTCGTTCTTTAAAAATCCTGATTATTTTTGTTCCGCAAAAGTCCAATTAGTGAAATGAACTTGCCTTGGATTAATAAAACAGCATTTATTAAAAAAACGAGCCGTAATACAGCACTAATTTCCTTGGTGGAGGTTGTAAGCTTCAATTGCCCCTATATGTAAACAGTTCGACCAATTGCTATGGAGTTTGAGGGTACCAAGGCTCACGCGAAAAGGTTGTCGTACGTGCGAAAAAACGATGTACATAATATTTAAGACCTCAATTAGGTCTATATCATTTACTATACGCTTATAGATTCGCTTGGAATTTTCGTTCCATAAAAATCTTCAACAATGTGTTCTGTTGTCTGTTGAGCGATATACTCAAAATTAGGAAACGTTTAAGTGTTTTCCGAATTCGGTTCAATACTGAACGATTCTGTTATCGAAGTTATGTTAAATACCGACAATTGCACAAATGGAAAATTTAGGTATGAACAATTAAGGTCCATGCCAAAATATGTCCATGTCTTATGATACAATGGTCAATAGATAACAGCAAAGGTAGTCTACTATGAGATGGTTGTATTGAATACGGCATTTAAGACTTTGCCTAGTAAACGAAAAGGCATTTAACCGAGAGTGGCTTTTAAAATATCGAGTGTCAGGAATTCGAGGGCGATTCAAGAGGTAATTCATGTTTCCTGGAGCGTATCCGACAAGAAAGGAGCGGAATTCGAAGTTTAACACGTCTCACAAAATGCTTTTTAATAGTAAACAGAGAACACTTACCCAAAACCGCCAAAGTACACGATATCAAGATGGCCAAAACGAGAAGCACTCGCCACAGGCTTGCCAAAGTATGGTACATTATTTCGACTATAATTCAGCGTCCATATAATAGTGGGAATCCTCAGAATTGATCGACGAACACTAAAGTTGAACAAACAATATGGTATTTAATAACCAATTGAATTGACATATCCAGAAAGCAAATAATGTAGATGGTACAATTCGTTAATTCGTAACATCCGTGTGATCAAAACGTGAGTAAATAAAGCAAACGGACAGCTTTCTTTGGCTAATGTGTAAATTAAATAATACACAATAGACCTATCGCATATGGTATTGTTTGCCACAATAGCACCAACGCTGAGATATACCAAATACTCACTCGTCTGCCTTTCGTAAACTGTATTACCAGTACTAAGTGTTAGTATTAATACTTCTACGATGTAACTACGCCAAAAAACTACACTTTGCTTGGTGTATATAAAGCGCCAAGGTAAGTAGTGTCCAGTTGAACCAAATTCGAAACCCAATACATTAATGGCAATTAACTATTTGTGGCAATATTAGTCTCCGCCTTCAATTCAATCAGGCACAGTGGGTCGCAGCACAATGAGGTGTCATCTTACATTATTGTCAACTTCCGTAACACAAATCACGGACACTACGATTGGTTTAGGCGAAAGCAATGAACTTCGTTTTATATCAACGTATTGTTTTGATACGACCCCTTGCGGTTCATGGAATGTAAGCAAGTTGTTTTGAGAGACGATGAGTATATATATACATATGCAATTCCAAGCTTTGCTCTTTTTGTCCTCGGTCTTGTAGAAAATATTGAGTGGAATTACACACAAATGCATTTTGCTATTATAAGTTTGAGTCGGCCCATATAGGTACTATTCGAGTTCGATACAATAAGCTGCCGTGGGCCTGTGCAAGTTGGTGAAATCGTCAAGAGGCGAGTAGCCATCTAACCTCCTATACTCTATGGTAACCTACTCACCAACTGACGAAAAGTTTTAAATTTTTTTTGTTAGCCATAGTTTGTCATGTTACAAATTTCGAAAAATGCGCATTGGAAACCCAAGATATAGACACTGGATTAAAAAGTCAAGCCTTTTTTCGGCTCAACTGAAAAAGTTTGAAATTCGTTTGAAGACTTTTGCTTTAATAAATTTAATTCTGAACGTTTAGTGTTACCCAATATTGGTTTTCTTTTCTTTTCAGATATATGAATAACTATAAGGACTGTGGCTTGCTGGTTTCATTGTGAGAGTTTCTTTGATATACAAAGTCTGGTTCACATTAAAGATTTTTTGTGACCAAAGTCAAAGAGCAAAGCGTCGTCATACATTTTTAAAAAAATTCAACCAAAATTCAAAAATACACAGGCGCAGCTATAAAAAGCGACAAAAATGTCAGCCAGCGAATAAATATAGCCCATTTTTTTCCCAAATGGTTTTCTAAGTTTTCTAAACAACTTTTTTATGTTTTTGGTTTCCGAAAACAAAGGTCAAACACGGTTTGGTTTCGGCTTTTTTATGATTCCCTCAGTGTTATGTAATCCTTTCGGTCACTGGAATGCTGTGCTGGGAAGAGTGGCATGGCCAAAGGAGGTGGGGGGGGGGGGGGGGCTCCCCTCAAATGATGTCCACAAGTGAGGGAGAGGAGGGGTTGCAATGTCTGGAATAACAGTAAAAATGGATTTTTATAGTGGCTATGATTTTTCTCCTTAGAACTCGTGTCAGAATGCGAGATATGTAGTTCTTGTAGAGATCCTGGCTAGAAATTCAAAATTTCTCCAAGGAGATGTGCCCTGACCCCCTAGGGTTCTCACAACATTGGCGGCACACGTCAAATGCAATGCCCTAGCAATGCCACATAACATTGTTTACCCTTGCAAGTTTGCTTACTCAGATGAGCGTTCAATCTTATCAACATGACAACGAAACCTGATTCCTAGGGCGCAAACCCCAGTTTAATATCTGATAAACTAATCTATTGTTTTGAACAGAGTGGTATATTAATTGTTGAGGGGTGTTTTGAGTGCAAGTTTGTGTAAAAAAGTGGAGCAATCTCCCGAACTAGATCGGGATGATTGGCCAATGTTTATCAGGTAGTGTAATCACGGTAATCCCTCAAGTATCGTATTAATCACGACCACGCGTTCAAGATTTTTTGAGAGAGTAGTATATTAGTTCTCGAACGGTCGAAACGATGAAGTTCTGCTCAGATTAGTTTCAGGTAGTTGGAGTCTATTCTTCACAGCGGCAGCTGTCTAGCATATCACTAGTTTTCTGAAATTCCCCGAAAGGTGTAGAAGCTAGTCGAATTTTAAAAAATAGTTTCAGGTACTATAAGCCACTTTCATATAAGGCCATAAGGGACTTGTGAGTGGTAAACGGCAGAGTGTTGATCGATGATTCGCTTTAAGTTCTGGTCATGAACTCGGTGGCGAAGCTGGCCATGGCAACTGGTCGTGCATGTTATGCTAATAAACCTGCGTCTAAATAGGTTAAAGACAATATACATTTCTAAAGGTGTGAATAGCGCAAATCATTAAAAATGTGCATAGAATGACATGTTGCTATATGGCTAGCTACGTCACTGCATGAATGTATTGAGAAAGTAATTTGAAAAATGTGTTGAAAAAGCTTAAGGAGGCGCTTTAAAAATAATATAATAAACCCAATCTTTTGTTCAATGTGTTTTGCTCATATGACTCATGGAGTCATGAGTTTGAGAAGCGACGCTCATGAATCATAATAAACTCTATCAGAAAAGCAAATTGCGTGGGATAGTTTCATTATCGTGAAAATAGAGAACGTATGATTGTCTGTTAAAGCACGTCACTCGCTACTCTCCTGATTTTATCTACTACGAAATTGAAATTGCGTGTGGGAATGTTATCGCCACTGGCGAATAAAAACTAAAAATGTGACCAAATTGCAGGGAGTTGACAACAGTAAATAGCCTTAAGGACGAGGCATATATTTAATTGCATATATATATATATATATATTATTCAGGCTTCACGGTGTTGCTCTGCAGAACCATGGCATATATATATCGGTTTGCGCTAAATACAAATCAAAGAAATTTGGTGTTTTGGGCAAGAGACTGATTGTCTTTCAAAGCAGAATGCATGGAGGCATTGTTTTTATAAAACTGATTGAAGGTTTTAATCGTGATTCATTTGGCACGATTTTTGGCAAAAACATGTTGAACAATTTTTCAAAACTGTTTAGCACAAATGAAGACTTATGTTTATCCAAACAACGGTCTATAAACGCGCTTAATTATTTTATGCAATACTGTTATACGTTATATTTAGTACCTGTTTTGACTATAATTTCCGATGGCTCAAAAAAATTGGAACCTGATCAAAAAACACAGGATTATATAGTATATTTCTTAGTTTTACACCCCCTAAAACGTTAATATCTATACATTAAAAATTCCTTGGTCAAAGAGTATACCTTGATCACTATGAATGCAGATGGTGTACACCTCTTTCGGAGACACAATATTAGAAAAGTCTTGCTACTTCATAATCAAGGAAACTTCTAGAGTGCATGTAATTACTGAATCACTCTTTCAGCATGTGGTAAACCCATGTACTTACAAAATACTAGTGTGCTCCACCCATATCTTAAAGCTGTCTACAGTTTCCTTAAATTGGGCACCCTTTTGATAAGGCTTTTCTTATAAGACAGGAACTAAACTCTAAAGGACTATAGCCTTCTTTAAAAGTGATCGTCTATTTTCCAACTCCCTCGAAAACCTTACTTTATTTACACTGCAGGGTATAGCTGTTTCAGTTCTATAAGGGTACAGGGGCCAGTTGTTCAAAACCGAGTTAGCTTACAATTCGTTCGAGGCTGGATCACGGTTGTTACATCAATAGAATGTTTTGAAATAAACGCACGTGCAGAAACACACAAAATAATGGTAAATTTTAACCCAGGGTTAACGACTTAACGCTATAATCGTACTTTGAACAACTGCCCCCCCCCCCAGTATACAAAGGCCATCCCATTTTGTCATGTGGTATATATGCAGGGTACCAAGTGAGGTAATGCGGCAGCGCGTAGTGCGGGACAACTCTCTGAAAAGGAAATACAGTTATTGGAGTGGTTAAATTTTTCACTATATGTATTGACCTTACGATTGATGGCAAAAACTTGCAGTGAAAACAGTTATAGCACGCATCTTTTTCATGTCCTCATAAGTGCCACGGCATTTCAAGTTGACGATCGTGTGTCTCTGATCGTGTGTTGAACTGTCAAACTGGAAATACACTTCGGCTTCTCAGATAGTCGGGACTAAGGCGACATCACAAGACAACTGTAAGCGAAATGGGCATGCTTATCACATGGTGGCACCAACTAAGGTTTTTTCAAATGTTTCAACATACCGATTCGCTGTGATTATTTTATTTGACAAAATTAATGATTTTAGAATTTCTCAAATTTACGTGCACAAGATTAGTGAAAGTCAAGGAGCCACTTAAGAAATGACATGCGTTGTCAGTGTATAAATTTGTCACCTTTTATCATATTTTACTGGCAGAAAGGAAAAACATATGGTATGAAATAGCAAGTAATAAAATTTACAAACATCTTGTTTTTAAAGATACCATGAAGAGTGACAAAATCCAATCATAACGCCCACTGGCTATGACTATGTATATACTGTAGTTAAAAAACTACAATAATGGAAAGGTCTTATAGGAATACGTCTTGTTGTCTTCATAGCAATGTTAAGAAGCATCGTATGAGCTCGGAGTAGGTCAGGTTTATTTTCCAAAATGGTTTCTCATATTTTACAGGAATGCAGACTTTCCAGTTACAACACACACATTTGGAATCTATTTCACGCTCACACGCATAACTACATTTTTCTCATGCAATTCCATAAAAAGTCTTTGTGATGTTCCTTCGTTGAATTATTAATGACTACAAGATGATGTATTTCTAGACCCGCATTTGTTTTGTGTTTACCAGCAGAACAGAAGGTAAAGAGTACGAAAATTTTAATATTTTCAATCACATGCATTTCGGTTTTTGCGGTGAATGAGTTTTATGATTGAAGTCTGATTGTTGACTGTTTGATTTCATTCATTCAAACATGATATCTGGGGGGGGGGGGGTTTGACCATAGACATAAGATGTGATGTATGTTACTCATGTTCTCACTCATTTTGAATGTCTGGGAATGGTTTTGTATATATGCGTATCAAAGGGCCATCAAAGCCGGGGATGAGTCGGGGAGGCACCCAACATCGTGAGTTAACAGGAGCACTGAGTGGCCTGCCGCGAATTAATGGCCCTTAGTCTTACTGGACCTCTATAATGAGTTGCAAGTGGAGCAGCTAGATAAATATCACTATCCAGTGTGAAGTTAGTCTATAGTTATTAGTTAGTGTTACAGGTGTTAGTCTATAGTTATTACGTCTCAGATTCATTGAAATCGAGGCTAATGCCCAACTTACCTAAAAGGTCAAAACCCCATAATTTACTTACTTCGCTATGAAAATACGTGAATCGTCAATTTCCTGAATCACTCATGTAATTTCAAGGATTATTCAATTCAAGATTCAAGCATTTTTGGATTATTGATCTGTCTCCAGAAATGATTCTGAGCTTATCGACTTGGAATCGAGATTTCGTGACTGAATGCTCTCACGTGAAAACATGTCAATTGTGTGGGTAAATTGTTGACATGCAAGCATTTCTTCAGTTCATTTAAAATATTATCCCAATCATTCTAAAGGTCAAATAATACGCATGCTGTCAGCGCTTTGCTACAAGCCACGTACCTACAATAGTTTTCATTACATGCATTACAAATCAAAATTTTGTTTTCATTAGCAAAAACGTGAAATTATTTCGGAATTTTTCAACATCAAAAAATATATGCCCAGAGAATCTGATTAAAATGTCATTTGTGAACTGCAACAAAAGTTTAAGACCGATTTTATTTGTTCTGACGTCATTAGTATACTATTAATTAGTTTGAATTGATAACCTTGTGGCCTTCTGGTAGGTTCGAGGCGTTCTTCGTTCTAAATACTTTCCATTATATTAAAATTTAATTGTGATATATCAGATTAAAAAAAATTAAAAATCCACTAATACGTCTAATATATTTCTAATATTTGTTCCCCAGTTTTTTTATGTTTATATTGGGGCCCCAGATTGGCATTCTAACTTTAAGGCATTGCATATAAAATAGGTTTATCAATGACAATGATAGAATAATCTGCTACTTATGTAAATGTGACAAATAACGTGTCTTAAATGATGTGAATATTTTTTTATTAATTTAAACCAACTGTTTTCTAAGATCATGAGTCTTCATGTTTCTTTTGCATAAGTTTTGTTATCTGAGAATTATTTCACAAAATATTCTACTATTATCTCATAGTCATGCATTTCTGTATAACAGTTATCTTCCAAATCCATGAAAGTTTAAATCAGGTTTGGCATATATTAAGTTTATTATACGAGAAACATCGCAAGTTGCAGAAGAATGACGAGTATCTACCTATATATAGACAAAGCTACATTATTACAAACACAATGTAGAAAGATATTTTGGACAGCAAAAGTGCCTTCAATCAGGAAGGTGTGTTAGACCCCACCTACACATTTTAATTGCACGTATAGGAGCGACGAAAGATAGAAAAATTACCACGACAGTTGAAACATATACGATGATGTAAAATTTATCAATGAGAGTGAAAGGTGATTGGCATCCCAAATTTAATAGCTATTTTGGCAAAGTTTAATTGATTTGTCTTGACACGAATATTCTGGCAAGGCAGTCGATCCATAACTGGCAGGATCGCCATGCAAGCCCACACAGTTATATAAATTGTCCATCTTTGGAAAACTCGGTGTGGAAAATGAATTTAATAAATCGTAACTATATGAAAGGTGTGGAGTTTGAAGGTTTGTGGTGAAAACAAAATAATTTGTGGGTCAAAACAAAATAATTTGTAATTAGTATTTTCATGCAAAAGCTAGTGAGAAAAGATAAATGTGTTGCTAACTTTGGGATACTCTTTCAAAAGTGATTTCACTTTCAGCACCCATTACCCACATTAATTTTCGAAGTCAGCAAAGTGACTGTACTATACTAAATAATGACTTTCAGTTTGGTCAATAATGGGTTTGAGAATATTTCTCAGTTAAGACTTAAGATACTTCAAGGTACAAATTTTGAAACCTTTTCGGTTGTAAATAGGAAATGATTCGTCCTGCATTTCAACACTATATAGTATAAGCATAATCTTTCCATAATCTTCCCAGTTCATGAATTATAAATGCTGTGAGATATTTGACTAGCTGTGAAGTAAACGTATCTGAAGTTAACTATGATATTAAACTAGTGACATAAATCACATATAATGAGGCAATTAGTTACTTACTGTTATGTTAGTTAGTAAGTTAGTTAATTAATTAATTAATTAAACGGACCAAACCATCAATGGAGCAAACATTAGTCCGCATGACAGCTACACAGCGGTCACTTACTTTTAGCTTTCTTTTCTACTTCTAGCTTAAGAAACGTACATCAACTAAATTCGAGTCAACGATTCCCTTATGTCCAAATTATGCTCACAAATTTACATGTTGACCGTGTTTACTTAATCAGGGACATTCCTCTGTTTCAATATCCGTTCAACAGCCTTTTTAAAATGGAAAGGAGGTTCTTGTCTACTTCAGAGGAGACAATATATTTAAAGGACAATTTCCGATTTGGAATATAACAACAACCGGAAAAGAAAAGTACAGTGCTATGACTTCCCAAGTACAACGACAATTCCGTCCGCATTTTGAAATCGCGTAAACAGAAATGCCAGTAATTAGTACACATGCATGGACATATATTGACACTAAATAGTAAATATCAGGAGAAAAGTAGCCTGCCTAGCAGGTGCTCCTCTTATAGCAAATGCGGCTGAGAACGGCTGCGTAAGCAGGTCAGGACAAACGTTGCGGTGTGTTCGGTGGACTCGCTCTTTTCACATGCAATTTTTTTTAGAATTTTAATGAAATATCCATCATTGGCATAAAAATACAATGAAATTACAATGTAAATATATAAATACATATATATGTAAACCAAATGACAGGTGTAAAAAAATTAAAGTTGTTAAACTATTTAAATACAATATACAGTTATTACAGTAAAAGTCATATCATTGAGACGAGATTATAATCAGGCAACTGCATTCTACAGTACAGGAATCGAAGCCTGAAAGATAGGTAAACCCAAGTAGTCGTACCTCCTCTTCCCATGCGTACGATCGGGCTGAACTGCGGGCCTCACCCACCTTGTATTTTGCGGGCATATCGTATCGCAATTTAAACTAAGTTAGTTGAGATCAGTGGGGAGTAGATAGGATTACATGGCGTCCAGCATGATTTGATTCAAAGTAACTTAACTTTATACGATCGGATATCCTGATTTGCTCGATTATTTCCGATTATTGCCAGGGGAACACGCAAGGCATGTCCTTGCGTAAGTACAAAAAGTTGAGATTTCAAGGTACTGCTTGAAAAGTACATCGAATATCACTGGAAAATGCTAAAGAGAGTGTGCCATACTACTCTCACCATACCACGGTTTTACGGTACGTTTACACGCTGCGATTTGGCGCTTACCATTCGTTGGCGTATGTAATCGAATATAAACGAAGAGGAATTGTGCCGTAAACAGCAATTTTCATACGTCAGAATACGAATCGTATACGCAAGGCGCAGCGTGTAAACGTACCTCTAAACCGTTCTGAATTGAGTTATATCATAACACGAAGTAGGGTAATTTTTATCTCAAAACACTTCAGACTGTGTCAAAAAAATTTTCAACACACTTTTTTTTAAAATGTTTTCATTGCAAATTTGTAAGTACAGCGTGAATTTAAATATAAGTAAGATATTTTCATATGTGTACTCCTGTTTCAAAATATGAATCAGGTGAATACAGCAAATTGTTTTGCATCTTCCGTAACTAGTTCCAGGCTCTTTGACCTTGAAATTTCGTGTCGCGGCCTTTTTCATGGCCAACAGCCGGAACTAGTAAGCTTGCCCTTGACCTGATATGTTTGCTACTGAGCTGCTTATTTTGAGATTATTACATATCTGAAGTGTTCCTGGCATTATGATGTACTAACGTACGTTGTATTCTGTATCCTATAAACTGCCCGCGTTTATGATATTTGCATGGTAATTGCCCAGTTTAATTCCTCAGCTTACGAATAGACTTGCTCCAAGTCTCTCTTATATTGTACGTTACATGACGTCATGTAACGTACAATATAAGAGAGACTTGGAGCAAGTCTACTTACGAAAGACAACACCTCCGGGATAATAAACTCCAGCGCATGCTCAGAGCTACATATCGTAGCCAAAATCTACCAAAAGAGGCCAAACTACTTTTTGGTGAAAAGAAGCCATAAGCGGATACTGATAGCATGGTTATATAATTTATCAGCTTTACAACCGCCTCCATTTCACGATTCATTAGAATAATTAATGCATTGTTAGAACTACAATTAGGTTATCTTCTGATAATGATGTTTACATCACAAATAAAAAACTCTGCATAGAATCAATTTCCCCCAAAAAAATCAATGAAAATTTTCAAACATTTATCTCAATGAAGAGGCCAAGTAGATGCCAAACATTTTTTGCACCCAAATGAAAAATAAAGAATCCAAAATCGAGTGCCGAGAGTCGTCTCCATACGTAGATTTTTTAATTCAAGGAAAATCTAAGAAAAACACAAGCTACTATTTGAGGTCTGACATTGGTGGCAAATATAAACTATCCTCATTATTGCACAGTTGGTCTGGTACTTGAGCCCATACTGTGGCACTCGTGAGGTCATCGTCAGTTTCGTAAAAACACCGGCATATAGAGGTACAGGTCCATATTTTCGATCAACAATTTCACATGTCCTTAGGGGCCGATTACATGGAGCATTTTCAACCGCCGGGGTGGAACTCAGCCCTGTTTACTGGGTTGACATTTCAGCCCTGTCTGTAATACAAAACTCTATCAAAATCAAACGCGCGATTACATGACAAAATTTTCAACCCAGGGCTGAGTTCAACCCCGGGGTTGAAATTTCAACCCTGCTTCAGCTAGCTAACAATTATCATGAGTTATTCGAGCATACGTCGTAGTGACTATTTATTACAAGAAAACAAAATAAAGGCTTGTTTACTTCCGGGAATCGATGCCGAGAACGTATAGTATAGCGTTTCAACCCCGGGGTTGAAATCGTCCATGTATTCGCAAAAAATTTCAACCCGGTTAACAGGGCTGAGTTCAACCCTGGGGTTGAAAGTTCTCCATGTAATCGGCCCCTTACTAAAGTTAATAAGCAGGCTCTAAAACAGGGCATATAAATTTGCAAAAATTCCATCTAAAAATCTTATCAAAAAATCCCATCTACCATGCCATCTTATTACTTACTAATAATTACAAAAAAAAGATATACATTTTTTCAGAAATTTAAAAAATGTCAAAAATTTCACCGAATGATTTTTGACACGTAGCTATCACATGCTCAATAAAATTGCACTGCACTTGTAACCAATGAGTGAGCTGATTGGAGTGATTGCTGACACTATTTTATAGCTGTCACAATATTGTACTAAGGGTCCTCTCCCACATACTTCGAGATCATTTAAGAAGATTTTCGGCCAAACTGCCTTTCCACACTTCATAACTGATTCTTAAATTTATAATTAATTGCTCTTAATTAAAATTATAACGAATATCCTCGAAGAGAATAAACCTCAAAATTTAAAAGCAAGTACAATAATCTGATACAGCCTACATGCTGTAGGTCGTTATAAATTATCTGACATGTTAAAATGGGGGACCAAAATTTAAAAATATCAGGCATATAAGTGTTATTTTCCGCTGGCTGAGGCACGAAAGAAGCGGAAAATGTTTTCTCACACACTGCTGGGGGCCTGATGAAATCAGGGTGTTACAGGGTGGTGCAGGTTATATGAGCATATTTTTGTTGTTGCTCACCGTAGTTTGACAGTATCCCACCCACCCAGCCCTTTTACGTTTATTAGTAGAGAGTAGGGGAACAGAACGGTTTTGGACTGGGTATATGTACTTGTTATAGTAATTATGTAGCGAGCAATTGTAATGTATGGTAGTTTAATAAATGCTCAGCTTGCGGCTGACGCTGCAGCAGCTCCCAGCGGTGTGTGAGAACTAGCTATAACTATAAGTCGACCGAGTCAGTTGAGAGCATTCTTCTTGCCCTACAATGGCGTAAGAAGTTGGAGGTTGCTGTGGGGTGCACAAGTACCCCAATAACAGGATTAGTATAGCTTAGCGTCCCAAATATTACCACAAACACCGTTATATTATGGACCTGATAATATTGAATCCTGAAATAATCCTGCAATTCTTAGGATTGGAGTGATGATAAAATTGTCATTGTGTCACTATTTATGAGATTGTTAAACTGCTCTCAGAATGATGTACAGAAAATCACGTTTCTAAGCCATAGAAAGTAAACAAGAATCAAGATGTCAATATTTCTGGAGGAACATACGCAAAATTAATTGCATATAGAAAATAGAATTAGTATTAAATATAGACACATGTTGGTCCACATTAAAGGTTATGTATAAGGGACTAGGGTATATTCTACATACTAGTAAACAAGGTAAGTTGGTCAATTCCCCGACCCCCTAACCGTAACCTAATGCCCCACCCATCTCAATTTTTGGGATAGTAATAAAGATAAAATCAACATTGATATGTGAAGAGATGTGGGAATTTCTCTTGAAATCCTTACGTGAATTCCTGTTAGGAATAGTTATGCTCCGATGTTTTACAAATATTAGCTAAATAGACCTACAGTAATTGGCTAATTCACCTGATTACTCAATTCATATTTTCGCGGTAACCATAGACATGTGAGTCAATTTATCCGGTTTGTTTTGACAATGTAAGCATAGAATGGAACAAAGGTAACCAAGTATTGTATGTCTGAGTGTATGTATATAGCCGATTAGCTCCATTCATAAAAACATCAGGGACAACTATTGAGTCCAGGCATTGTACTATGATGGTGGCCTATTTATCCCATGAGATATGTTTATCTGTAGGACAACTTTTGAGCGCAGACATTGGAATTCGTCTTCAGGCTACGATGGTGGCCAATTTATACCACGAGTTATGTTTATCTGTATCTGTTAACTCAGCTGGTAATATGCATATACAAACAACAAGTGGAAATCAGACAGCGTTATTCTAAGTAAGCTTATAGGTAGGTTTTGGAAAGCCGGGATTGCCACGCAACAGGTGACGGCCAGACAAACGCTTTTCATTTCAAGTAGTATCGCATTGTATTTGAAGAGAAATAAGTAAAACGGAGAGATTGAATTCAACTTTCTTGTTTTCTGGAAACAATTCTAAAGTTTACCACCACCCATCAATTGACCAATCCAGTCTAAAATTGGGACTGCAACGCAGACTATCAAATATATATATGTCGTTAAAATACCAGCTCTACTAATAGAGATTGCGTGGTTTGGAAAATATTCTTCAATGATCGCTCAAGGCTTCTCGAAGACTATTATCAGATGCGAAAATCTCAGTACTCAAATTGATTGTTTATTGTGTAGCATCCGTGAAAGCTGCGTTTGCGCGATGGGCTTGCCGCTTGATAAGTCAAGAGCGAGCTTGTTCACTGCATGCTTTTGATAAAAATACTCGGTAATCTCTGTCACTGCAGCGCAATAAACATATTAAATTAAACCCTAAAAATGCGCGGCATCTAAGAGAAACAAACAACGTAACCAGCCCGTGAATTGCCGGATATATATAGCTCTAGAAACATGCTTATGTCCCCGGCTTTCCATTAAACTATCAACATCAAGTGTTCCGGGATTAAGATTAAGTAAAGGTGAGCATCATTTGTCAGAAGAACAATGACAATGTACTGTACTTTGCGTCGGAGAATTTAGTAAAGTAAACACGATTACTACACGTTTCCTTAAACTTGTTTTACCTTCAAACCGCAATGTCTCATACCTGTTTCCAAAACGGCAAGCAAGCAAAGCTTTTACCAAGGAACAGTTCTTTAGATTAAACCAGTGTAGTGTTTTCTCCCCGTTTGCCTGTGGTAGGGCTGTTAAGACCTCTCTTTGACGCCAGCTATCAGCTTACTGAGTAGCATGTTTACATGTCCTAACCCGTGTATATAACTCGCGCATCTGCTTTGGGTTAAAAATCCATTTCACCCCGCGCGTAGGAGATTGGCTCGATGATTTGCGCGCATGCATATATAGACTGTCGACGCAAGAATGTGTCACATAACTCCAAAACGCATGAATATACGCGAGGAAATGAAGAGCGTTTCGTATTTTATGCTAATCGCGAACAGGTGCGCACACGCGAAAATAGAAACTTTCCGACGCACAAATCGTAATAATAGCGCAACGAATTGGCGTAAGCTAGCACCTTGATGTCGCGCCGTGAACGCCTGCTTCTCATTGAGCGCTGCTGGGAATCGCGACTTTGATTGTTAAAATCCTATCAGCAAAACCAAATGGAGCCTTGCCTGTCAAGCGCAACCACGCAATTAGCGAAAACAGTGGAATATTAATTATGCGCGCTGTATTTTGAAAGACATACTGTATGTGTATCTTACAGTTTGTATTTTAAATTAGATAAACTGTTCATAGCATTAATTGTACTGTTCATCCAGTAAAGACCAGCTATTGAATGGATAAAAAATAAATTGGCTGCCTGTAAGATCTAGCCTTTGTTGTAATCGATCTTTTGGCTCTGATTTACGGAATCGTACAAAAACAACCCTAAGGAATGTTTGGGACATTATACCTTTCCGGCCACATATATACAAAATACGTGACACAGTATACTTCCATATACCATTAGTTCCAAAATACAAATTGGTTTGCGTAGACATAAAATGGCGACCTGATTAGTTTGTATTTTAATACAAGATCACATTATAACAACGATCTGTTATTATTATAACAGAAATTTGTAACTGAGTTACCGACCATTGCCTTTAAGATTACATCACAACTACTAGATTTAGACTTCCTAGTCTTGTTAGCCAAGTGTACATGCATGTAAAATTGGTGTACTCTATAAATTAGCTGAGTTCCGATCTGACATTCCATGCGTGGGCACAAAAGTCTTTCCGCATGACTGAACTACCACGAAAATAATATACTGACATGGAGAAAAGAAGCAACAAGCTAGTATGTTGCTGCATCGTGGAATATAAATGGCGAACGATGTAATCCTTCATTGAAATCGATAACGGTTTTGACGTCCTTTCACGAACTCATTAACTTCAAATTCAAGAGCAAAAATACAAAGGAAGTTAACTGGTCGAGTCGCATTTCAAGAAAAGGCATTTAATACCAAACACGGTCATTTAATCAACTTAACTTTCGAGCGAAATTCGGGTACTGATTTGTTCAAGAGGTCATGTAATACTCTCAAGCGTAACCATTTGTCTGAATTATTTTTGAAACATTTCAAAGGTTGTTAAGAAACCTCGGTAATCGCCCCGTTTTTTTAACACACTTCATTGTCTTTTGTAATTAGTAAATAATACGGTGTGTAAGGATTTGCGCGAATTTTATATAATCTGGAGTTCAGCAGACTTTATCACAAATATGTAAATCTGATGACGTATTTGCTAAGCCGTGGTCGAAGTATGGCTGCTCTTTGTCGAATCAACACATTGCTGAGGCACTTTAAAGTAGTGTGTTACTTACATATGTTACGTAGAATCGCACACGCGTTGAAGGTTTGCGGCGAAATCTGCTTAAGATCCTCCTGATTTTGCGAAGAACGTTCTAGGTTGGGAAAACAAAGGAAACTTGTTATTTAAATGATTCAAGGAATACAAACAACCTATAATCACATATTTTCTCACACACCTCTGCGTCTGTAGCGGGAGCCCCCCGAATCTTTGTATGAACAGAATAACCCTTGCGCGCTTTTCCCCAGACGTGTTTTAGCGGACAATTCCTGAAGAGAATGCTAAACGCAATATCATTCGAGGCGTGGTTGGCTATATCTCGAGTAAAAGATAAGACATCTTGTTATCAGAGACTATCGGTATTGGCATTCGGACAGCTGGTAACCTTTACAGCACGGTTCAAACGTCACCAAGCGCTTGGCGTGTGTTTGACTCTGTCAAAGACCAAACGTGTTTGTAAGCGATACCCGATATATTGGGGAATTTAATTTACTATTAATGCGCGGTACCGTATTATATGTAATATTTAGAGCGCGCCCAGGAGTGTCTTATCAGTCGCATCAAACACGACTACAAAAGACTTATTCTACGACCGTTGTTTCTTTTGTCCAAGAACGTTAACACGGTTGAGTTGCTGCTAAACTGGTCCACACCTACCCACTCACGTTTGGTATGCAAATTAATCGCCTTGTACTGTTCATTGGTTAAGTGTGAACAAAAAATATCGGCCATATTGAAACGTCATTGTTTCCATGGTAACTATGGTAAAAGTGTTGCTATGGTCACGTGTTCTTCCTTTGGGCGTAATAATTTTTTTTTTAAATTACTTTCCCTTGTATAAAAAAAGTTAAGCTACTTAAAATATATTACAATAATTTAAAAGATTTTGGGCTAGAGACCTACTAGAAATCTTCACAGGCTTTTTATTTAGGCAGTCTCATAGTAGGTTAATTTAATTTAAAATAGGTAAGGAATTGTCTTCCGATGTAGACGTAGGAACGTTATTTTCATCCTTTTAATTATAAGATAAATATTAATGCCCAGCAGAAAATACGTAAAAAAGCTATAACAAAAATATAGTTTAAAATATTTATTAGAAAGCTAACGTTTCGTCTTTAACTTAAGACATCTTCATTCGAGAAAGTCTTCTCATTAACAAACTCAAACCCTCTCTCAACTTACAAGGCAGTTCGGTCCCGCTACTTCTACTCTGATCCACTCCTCTTTCTACTTTTGTAATATAATATCTTGTAAATAGTTGTAATTTATTCATATTTCTGTGTTTTCCGCTTTGTATGTCATTGCTCTGAAGATGTCTTAAGTTAAAGACAAAACGTTAGCTTTCTAATAAATATTTTAAACTATATTTTTGTTATGGCTCTTTTACGTATTTTCTGCTGGGCATTAATATTTATCTTAAGATTACGATTCCCGCCTGGTTCATCTGTCGCAAGTATCCTTTTAATTGTATTATAAATGCATGACCATGTATCTAAAATTTAGCATTTGTTGAGCTAGATTAGCGCGTTTAGTCATAGTACAGGTCATAGTTGTCATTTATTAGAGACGTTCATATATATATTTGACTTTCACTACCGCTGACAACCTCTTACTGGCTTATAGTACACGGCAAAAAACGCTCAGGTTGATGCAATACTGATGAAAACAGGATTGAACAATGTTTTGCTGCCCACATTGTTCATAGCTGTCAACAACATTGAACAATATTGTTACACCCGATTCATGCTCAACAGCATTGTTCAATACTGTTGACAAGTGTGAACAACGTGGGCAGCAAAACATTGTTCAGTCCTGTTGAGCAACGGTCTCGGCGTTTTTTGCCGTGTACTAGGCCGTGGGCTGTTGGCCAAAATTATTTCGCTTCGTGGCACCCATGTGGGAAATACTTGGTTTGGGATTTATTTGAAAGGCATATAGATATATCATTACCAAAAAAAGTTCCCACGCAAAAAAGGTGCCCGATCCCGAGAAAATGGGTGATCAATTATTATCCTCTATTAAATTGTATTACAGCAAAAAAATGGGAAATTCTGAATTCAACTACAATAAAAATGACTTGCATAATCGGAAAACGTACAAAAAACCGCATACAAGACTTTTAAACAGTTTTTTTATTCTTTAAATAGTCTTGGAGTTATTGCTGTTTTAAATGTGAAAATTGGACCAAAATGTCGCAATAAGGACTGGGTACTAGGTCAAAAACGCGTTTTTGACCGCGTATAACTCGAAAACAATTTTAGATATAAAAAAAACTGTTTAAATGTCTTATATGTAGGTTTTTGTAAGCTTTCTGATAATGCAAGTCATTTTTGTTGTAATTGAATACAAAATTTTACATTTTCTTGCTGTAATACAATTTAATAGAGGATAATCACTGATCACCCAATTTCTCGGTGTTGGGCAAGTTTTTTGCTTGGGAACTTTTTGTGGTAATTAAGCATCTATGGTTCTATGAATTGAACCACAGAAAATCTATTTCCCAGGAGGGTGCCACGAAATTGCTTTTCTAGACACTTTTTCGCACAACAGCCCACGGCCTATACGCATCTGATTGGTTAAAGGCACAGTGCAGCCTTTTGAATGATGGTTTTTAAGGCGCATTTCAGCCCTTTTAATTGAAAAAACTAACTAGGAAAATCAATTAAGCATAATTCAAGATCACCAAACTTAATGTTTTTAACATTTTAAAACATTTTTATTGTTAAAAACATTGAGTTTACTGATCTTGAATTATGTATAATTGATTTTCCTAGTTAGTTTCAATGGACGACTTGCGCTTTAGACTAAGTTTTAATCTAAGTAAGAACAACGAAATCTATCACCACAGCTAGAAAGAACGTCTTGGAATTAGTAATATTACAAAGTTTGGTTGCGAAATGTTGTAAAATACGGAAAATATAGCCCTTCAAAGTTGGCAAATTTGTATACTTTTGTATTACGTGCGTGAATTGGTAACTAAATTAGTTACCAATTTCCGCACGTAATAGAAATATATACAAATTTGCCTACTTCGCAGGGCTATATTTTCCGTATTTTACAACATTTCGCAACCAAACTTTGCAGTTTTTCTAATTTTGATAACTTCTTTCCGAAAATATCCTTTGTTATTCGCTCATCTGTTTGGTCAACTTTGCCAAGTTGGATTTCATTAATCGACAGGAATAATCTAGGAAAACCGCATTGCCCACACACAAGGCATTAATAACTCTGCACGTTCAAACGGTTTTTAATTTACAAGGAAAACAAATTTTAAAATTTTACTAATTTAAACTGACCGACTAGTATGTGCGTGAAAGGTCTGGGGGGTTTAGCATCCTAGGGTGCTTTAACATCACGCATATTCAATGCGCACGTTTTTCAGTCACGTAGTCCGCATGCATGGTGTCACACCTGAACTACAAATACAATCATTCTCAGACGTGTTCAAGAGCACGCCTGAAATATCTTTGATTTAATTTTGATCACGATGATTTATTTTTACAATACGTAATCAATCGTTACGATGGCGTTTCGAAAACGGGCCGAACAATTTGTAGGATTTAAAATAACGCGCTCCAGCACATGTTAGGGATACATTTGATCAAAGTTAAAAACCATCATTCAAAAGGCTGAACTGTGCCTTTAATAACTGTGATCAAATGTATCCCTAACATGTGCTGGAGCGCGTTATTTTAAATCCTACAAATTGTCCGGCCCGTTTTCGAAACGTCATCGTAACGATTGATTACGTATTGTAAAAATAAATCATCGTGATCAAAATTAAATCAAAGATATTTCAGGCGTGCTCCTTGAACACGTCTGAGAATGATTGTAGTTCAGGTGTGACACCACGCATGCGGACTACGTGACTGAAAAACGTGCGCATTGAATGAAGTGCGTGATGTTAACACTAGAAAAATGCTAGCACCCTAGGATACTAAACCCCCCAGACCTTTTACGCACATACTAGTCGGTCAGTTTAAATTAGTAAAATTTTAAAACTTGTTTTCCTTGTAAATTAAAAACCGTTCGAACGTGCAGAGTTATTAATGCCTTGTGTGTGGGCAATGTTTTCCTAGATTATTCCTGTCGATTAATGAAATCCAACTTGGCAAAGTTGACCAAACAGATGATGAGCGAATAAACTTTTGTCAAAAGAAAATCTCATTTGCTGGTCTATGACCGGCTTCAGTTTGTCATTGAGTTGCAACAGCTCAAACTAGCTGGGAGTCTGGCTCTAAAAGGGATTTGGAACGTTTTCGTCAGCTCATTGTTAATAAGCAAAACAAATCACTGGAAAAGTTTCATCCACACATCACGTATACAACACCCCTCGTGTAAAATAACACATTTTACCAATAGGTCGTGTGACCTTTCACTTTAAAAATACGCTCGTCTGGTCTATAGCAGAGCGAAGGCGCGTTCCAGTTCGTAAATATCATGTGGAATACACGCTTCCGGAAATTACGTCACTTTGGTAATAGAGCCTCGTTTTCGTATGCGCGGACATTCGTTAAACCGAAAACGAGGCTTCATAACTAAGGTGACGTATTTTCCGGAAGCGTGAATTAGAATATTTTCATACGTGAAATGTAAGTATTTTATATATATAATTGAGAACTGTCTCAAAGTACCAGATTACATGCAGTACAGTAAATCACAGTCGAGAGCAGTTCAGTTTCAGTACAGCAAGGAAGTTTCCCCTAACACGTATGTCATGAAAAAGAACCAGTAAAAATTTCCAAATTCGCAAGTTCGTTGCTATTTTGGGACGTCAACTATATGTCCTATATCCGTCACATTTGTCCCAATGAACGTTTGCCGTCGTTTTCGTACGGGATCAGGGAAACAGGTGCCACGAGAAGCGGATGTTAGCAGACTGATGTTTGTCAAAACTACAGATATTTTGGCCATCTGCCACAACACATTTATCATTGTTCTATTTTATAGAAGCATACAATAGAACACGGGTAACTAGGCATTAGAATTATCCCTGCTTCTGTAAACTGGAACA